TGACACGGAGATGTTGCCATCTAATGAGCTCAGGGCTAAGAACTCCTTAGGATAACTTCTATTCCCGCGAATATTTGAAAATTTTTGATCAGATGATCTATGTTTCCTCATCTGTCATCATCTTACCAAATCTGTCGCTGAGATCAATTATCGATCTCTGGCAAGCACTATTTATGATGTTAGTTTCCGTGTTGTTCTTTGCTTTGCTCAGTTTCTGACAAATAAGATCATCTCAGAGAGATTAGACATTAAATTGTTCAGTTATTGAGAAACTCGTTAAACTACAAAGAAAGTTTTGTATGTATGAACTTTTTAAAAAATGATAAGTTTCTCGAAAGAACCTTCTTGAAGGACCTGAATCTTCTGATTTAGAAGTTAAGGATGATGTTCCCGTATACAGTGTTCTTTGCAATTAATGCCAGATTAAAGATTCCTAGAGCTGAAGACATGAAACGCAAATTTTGTTTCAATCAGCTAGAGATAGGATGAGAATAGCATTTTGTTTTTCACTTAACCAAAAAAGAGCTGGCAGAAACAAAATAAGGGGAGAACTATTAAATATTTTTCATTTACACAATCAGAAACTTATTAAGCATCATGAATCTGTGAAGCTATCTGAAGCAACGTATATAGCCTTGAGCATTGTTTGGGAATGAATGACATCAACTGCCTGCAATTAGAAGAAAGAAGACAATCTTTTCTTTCTCAAAAAATAAAATGAAGACTGTTTTCTTTTTCATTTTTTATTCTCAGAACTTTGAGAGAATGTTTAAGATTATGTAAATATCAAGAAGACATCTATTACAAATTCTTCTGATGATTGCCACTTATTGATTGATTTTTTTCTTTCTAAAGATAGCCTTCATGCCAAATTTGTATTAGCTGCCGTTATAGAATTCATTTCTGCTCCAATTGTGCTCAGACCGCTCAAAGACAATCTTCTCCTTTCGACTGCCATCAGTCAACTGTATAGCATATACATGTATCTATACGTATTTCTCTTTTCATATTAATATCATCAACTTTTCTATTCTCAACAAACATCGTATAAATTCGCTTCTTTCCTTATATCTCATCAGAAGTATCGAATCCGTAGGTTGGTTGCACTTGAATATTCTATTTTGTCAGTTCTATCCATCAAGATCAAATCAAAAACATTGAGAAATCAACAAAAGCAAAAGTTCATCTCTAACTATACCAATTTATACATGAAGGAGCTTTTGAGCTTTTTTTTGGAAGGCAACAACATCCTTGTCCTCCCTATCTTCCTCCTCCATGAGAAAAAAAAAAAAAAGAAGAGGATAGTGGGGGTGGGGTCATTCCCCAAACTATTTCCGAAAAAGTCTGCCATCTTGTTCAACGAAAACATTTTTATTTCTTGATATGCCTTTCTCTCTCTCTCTCTCTCTCTGTTACCATCTCTCTCTCTATCTCTATCTATTTCTAATTTCAGTCATTTTGAAAAGAATTTCCATAATTCATAATACTTTCGACCATTGTTTCCAATACTTTCAAATAGAAGATGACTGTTCTTGATGACATTTTCACGATGCCATTTTAACATTTTAAAATCCACCAATAACGTTCTTTCATCGTTCGTTTTGACATTTTCTTAGCTTCCTTCTTCAATTTTTTTTCTCCTTTTCATGTTTAGGCCCGATGGGACCAGCAAACAGCTTCTCATCCTATTCTCATCTATCTCAACATAATCTGTCCTTTAATTCCTGGCGTCATGTTCAATCTGTCCAATTGTCAATGGTTGTTTTGACTATGTCTATAAAAAGAAACTTTTTCTTTATCCTGTATACATATTCTGAATGCATACTACCAACAGAGATTCATTTGTTTCGTTGCAGAACGGTAGATATCGAAAACACCGCTAATTAGCCAGTTCTCTTCCCCTCTTCTGTTCTCATTAAAGATCGAAAGCGTTTTGTTCGGAATAAATATGTTAACGTGCTTATATTAGAACAACAGCTCATGGAAGTGAAAGAATCATCTGTTGAGAGGTTGTACATGAATTCACCTCTTCTAATGGTTGTCAAATTCTACTTGCATTCAAAGCTTTAGAATCTAATACAACCACTCATCACTGTTAAACAAGCAGACTGTTTTCGACATAGCTTCTAGCTTCAAGTTTGATCATGTGAACAGATTGGTTTTCATTTAATGAAGCTGAGAATTGAAAAAAAGTAACAATATGATTGAATTGTGTTATTTGATGAAGATGACCTTTCTAGTTCTAGCTGTCCATCGAACATGTCCTAAGCTTCCAGCCTTTCCTCTTTTCAATCTTCTTCAGCTTTTTCTTTTTTTTTCTCTTGCTTCTGTTCCTCTTCTAGTTCGAAGAAAATGAAAAATGTATCAAAGGGAAATTCATCTCAAAACCAACAATTGGCGCTTTGATTTCAGCCGTTTCAGAAGTCTCAATGTCCCCATGTAGAAGGTCAAATTCAGAAACTCAGTCAAATATACAATTTATCCATAAAAGCAAATGAAGAAAAGGAAGGAAAGCGCGAAATAAGAAGTGAAACACAGAGAGAGAGAGAGAGAGAGAGAGAGAGAGAGAGAGAGAGAGAGAGAGAGAGAGAGAGAGGTATCTCTCAGAGAGATAG